TAGGAATCAAGAAAATCCCCCCACAGAAATCCTCACAGACCAATGAGATAGAAGCAGTTCCTCAACCGAGGTTCTCTCTTTCCAGATCAAGTTGGTAAACATGATTAGTCATCACACTCCCTATTTAATCTGAGACTGATACCATATTTGCTGTTAATCCTTGTAGCCATGAATTACTGTTATAGAATCATTTTGTAATTTCCATTTCTCCTTTTAAACTTCCTTTGCCTCAATTTCCTGCAATATGTTCAAATATCCAATGAGAATATTTTTGGAGACTTTCTTTTAGGTAGAGAACTTAGACTTGGGAGCCAAACTGGGGGCCTCATGACATTTTGTAACTCTTTCTTCTCTCTCTCTCTCTCTCTCTCTCTCTCTCTCTCTCTGTTTTTCCAGATAGGTTTTCTGTATGTAGCTTTGGAGCCTGTACTGGAACTCACATTGTAGAACAGGCTGGCCTCAAACTCAGAGATCTACCTGCCTCTGCTTCCCAAGTGCTGAGATAAAAGACGTAGGCCACCACCATCCAGCCTTGTAACTGTTTCTGTCTCATGCCTCCCCTGTAAACCACAGTCCCCAGCTCGCCCTGTGAGAAGTTGCACAGCTGTGATCATGGTATCTCCCATGCCCTCCACCTTCCAATCACAGTTTGTTTCTAGGTCCAGATTCTCAAGACAGTTTAGCAGTTCATCTTAAATCAGCAGGTAACTTAAGGTCCAGCCAACTGCTGAAGGGTTCACAGCTGGTCTCTAAATGTGTTCATGAACGTCTCTCATTTTGGGGTCTCTCTGCATATCTGTCAACACACATAAAAGTATGGGTTCTTCTCATCCCTGTTAGAAAAGGTCAAAGTGTCCATTTCCTCCCCCCTTGATTCTATGCAGATATTGTGACACTTTAACCAACAGAACAGCAGAGGAGTGAGGCGTTTGGGGACTTCCTAACTGCAGCTTTGAAAACAGCAGTTCTCACTACTCATAGGAAGCCAGTGGCCTCTCTGAGGATTAAGAAAATCACATTTCAGGGCTGGAAAGATGGCTTAGCAGTTAAGAGCACTAGTTGCTTTTCCAGAGGACTTGAGTTCAATTCCCAGCACCCACATGGCAGCTCACTGTCTATAACTGTAATTCCATGGAATCTATTGTTCTGTTCTGGTGGGTAGGCATACAATGCAGACCAAAAAAAAAAAACCATACACATAAAATAAGGAAAGAAGAAAAAGAAAGAAAAAAAAGAAAGAGAAAAGAAGGAAGAAGGAAGGAAGGAAGGGAGGAAGGAAGGAAGGAAGGAAGGAAGGAAGGAAAGTAAAATCCAGGTTAGAATCCAGAGAGGCTACATTCAGGAGAGACCCTGTAGAAAGAGAACTCATTTAGAATGTTCCAGCTTCAGACATGAATAGTGGAAAATAGAAACATGAACTTTAGCTTGTCAACCTCATTGGCATGATAGATGATCACTACCTTTGAAGCCAATTACATCTTCCAAAAGATGTGCAGAACATAGGCTAAAGGCACCATGTTTGTAACATAATGTATTAGTGATTCCCAAAGGGGCTTCTCCCAGTATCCCCAGAGATGTGTTATCTATGAGGCTATGGTAGAGCAATGCTCTCTTTTTGGACTTGGCAGTGGGAGTTGACAGTGTTAGTAACTGGAAGCCATTGTCTTTGAAAACCAAGAGCCTCTCTCTTGGCAGCTGTCTTCTGAAGGAATCCATCCCCCCACCCCAAAGGCAACTCTCCACCCTGTATATGTTTTAAGTAATCAGAGAAAATAACCAGAATTTCTTCATTTGTCCTAACTACAGTCCTAGCCTGAAATAGGATCAGGCCAATGGGACATAGCAATAAGGTACCACAGTGCTCTGATGGCCTCTGCTATAAATGGGTCCCTGATCCACCAAACTTAGGATGTTGGTCCTGAAGAATGATAGATAGCCAACCTCTCCTTGAATGTAAGGCATGTTTCTCTTGCCTGGCTCCAGGGTGAGTTCTACAGTTGCTGGGTCTCTCCATATCCATGGGCTTTTTGGAGGGGCCTCTTTTTTGGGTCCATAAGTGGCCAAATGTGGCCAAAAGGGCCTGATCTCTATGAATCAGGGAAGCCTCTAAGGCTCTATATATACCTCAGCAAGAGGTAACACAGGTCCACTAGGTGTGTGTGTGTGTGTGTGTGTGTGTGTGTGTGTGTGTGTGTGTTTGATAATTTTGAGGCAAGGGTCTCATGTATCGCAGGCCAGCCTTGACCTTGCTACATAGCCAAGAATTACTTTTTTTTTTTTTTTTTTTTTTTTTTTTTTTGGTTTTTCGAGACAGGGTTTCTCTGTGGCTTTGGAGCCTATTCTGGAACTAGCTCTTGTAAACCAGGCTGGTCTCGACTCAAACTCACAGAGATCCACCTGCCTCTGCTGAGATTAAAGGTGTGTACCACCACCGCCAGGCAACCTTAAATTTCTAATTCTCATGCTCCACCTCCCAAGTGCCAAGGTGTCAAGACTGCCACTATATCAAATTTGTATGGTACTGGAAATGAAGCTCAGGGCTTTGTGTGAGCTAAGCTAGAACTCCAACTGAGCTGCATTTCTAGGACAGCTCTGGCAGGAAAGCTGCCAGTCAGGAGCCTGCAGACACTTCAAGGAAGATTTTTTGTGATGGTTCTTGGTTGTTAACTTGACTACATCTGGAATTAACTAAAACAGGACACACCTGTGAGGAATTTCTGCTTAATTTGAAATGGGAAGATACACTTCTATTTTGCATCTTTGAGGCAGGAAGACATCTTTATTCCACATTTTTAGTTCAGATCTAATCTTGGCCATGTTTTCTGCTGGAAACCTATATAAGGACATGGAAGAGAGAAGATTTTGTTCTTTGCCTGTTTGCTCTCGCCTTGCTAAGTAAGACAATTTCCTCCCTGACATTAGATCCTGTTTCTTCAGGATTCCAGTATATACTGATGATCAGCTGAAACATCCAGCCTCGTGGACTGAGCAACTACTGGATTCTTGGACTTTGAAATTCATAGCCAGCCATTGTTGGATTAGCTGGAGCACAGCCTGTAAATCATTCTAATAAACCCCATTTCTATACATGTATATAAGGAGATTCATTTTGCAAGTCCTGTTACTCCAGAGAACCCTGATTAATATCCGTTTCCTACCAACCAAGAACTGTAGCTTGACAGTTATGTTGATCCTGAAGCCTCCAACCCACAACATGGCCAACCAACAGCTACCATATGCCCTGGCATGAAAACTCAGTCTCAGGAATTAGAGAGCACAAAGAAAAAGAGCCTTGCAAGTGTCAGGAGAGTGTGGCTGAATTCTTCCATAGCTTCAAGATGAGGTTGGAGCAGCACTTCAAAGCAAGAAGGAAGCTACCCCAACTGAAGTAAAACACCCTCCACGCCGCCACTGCCGCCAAAGCAGACATTGCAACTACCAGAAAGGTGCAGGTCAGGGTTGTTGTTCTTTTGTTACAGTTATAGGAATGAAACTGGAGAAGGAGAGGGTGGTGGTCCCGCGTGGGGGTCCCAAGGTAAGGGACCATAGCATGTGAGGGTGACCAAGGCAGAGGGAATAGCACGCCAGGCAGATAGAGCTTGAATGAGGAGTTTATTTAGAAAGGGGAGTGAGGGGGAAGGGAAGAAACATAGAAGCACCAAGAACAGGAGAGGAGAGAGAGAGAGAGAGAGAGAGAGAGAGAGAGAGAGAGAGAGAGAAGAGAAAGCAAAAGAGAGCAGAAGTAGGGTCTGACTTTTAAAGAGTTCTTTACACCTACCCACAGACAAATATTCGTGGAACCCTGGGCTGACCAGGGTACTGCCTGAGTGCATTCTGCCAGGAGACAGGGGCAGGCCAGCATAATCCCTGAATCCTACAAGGGTACCAAAGGAATGAAGAAAGGACAGACATACAGACACACATACAATGAAGCTGGGGTCATGTGGGGTTCTCTATCTGCCACAGCTGGGAACCTAAGCATGTTTATTATGTACACAGAGCAGGAAGGATGGGACAGTCTGGGTAGGAGGTTTTTGTAGGTAAGCAGCCTCAGGTAGTAAACATCTGGGAGGATGCCACAATTGCTAATATTTATACACACTGATTAATCATAAATAGTGTGTATTAGTCAGGGACCTCTAGAGTCACAGAACTTATGAGATGAACCCCTCTCTCTCACACCAACTACAATGAGACACCTAGGAATCCTGAAAAGGCTTGAAAAGCCAGAAAAGGCAGGAAGTAACTGCAGCTCTGGAAATTGTCAACCAGGTGTTGTAGAACACTGTCCTCTAAGCATAGCAGCCATTATTGTCTTCCTCAGAGCAGCTGTGGCAGTGTATAAGGCCCGCTGACACCCCCTCACAGAAGTGGAGGGGACTTTCATCTGGTAAAAACAGCTACTCCTTTCCCAGTTGAAAATGCTAGAACAACAGTTCTTAACCCATGGATCATGACCCTTTTGGAGGGTTGAATGACCCTTTCACAGGGGTTGTCTAAGACCATCTGAATATTAGATATTTACATTATGATTCATAACAGTAGCAAAATTAGTTATGAAATAGCAACACAAATAATTTTATGATGGGGGTCATCACAGCATATGGTGTAGGGCCGTAGTATTAAGGTTGAGAACCATTCTATTAGAGTCTATAGTGTGGAAGAGCTCCAGCCTACATGGGAGGAGGGGGTCCATCTATGCACCTGTGGTGACATCAGTGTGCAAACTGGGGTAAGACTTTTTGGTGGTGGAGCTGTTTGGGGGTCACACACTCCTGTAAGTAACCACTCATCCATTCTCCTGTAAACCCAATAAAATCATTGGCTCACCAAGTTAGACCTTGGTAAAAATTATTCTTTTCATGTGTCATTAGTGCCATGTGTTTTGTATCACAAAGAAAAGTTTGTGTAACATCAGGGCTGGCTCACCCTAAAGGTGCTGTTCAAGGGTAGGTTTCCAGGTGCATGAGAGGATAACACACCAGGCAGGACCAGACAGCTGTGTCCATCAACATGTAATTTATTCCCATTTTATTCTGGGTCCTTTGATAACATTAGCAGAGCTCTTGCTGAGCACTTGGTTGCCTGACCCTTACTCAGGACAGGGGCTGGCTGGGGGGCCAGCTACTGGGATAGGGCAGGAGGAGGCAAGGAATGGAATACTCTGTGTGGCTTACAGGGGTCTCATGGGGAGTCATTGGGGCTTATTACAGTGAACTCATTGATTAAGTCCTCCAATTCAGGCTCAGGCAGACTAGTGGGGGTGAGCTCACCCTCAGAAGGATCCTTGATTTCATCTTCCACACTTCCTCTGTCCTCTTCTTCCTGCTCTTCGTCTTCCTCCTCCTCCTCTTCCTGCTCCTCACTTTCCACGCCCTCTTCAATATTTATTATTTCCTTGGACTTGGAGGATATGGAGTCAATACCAGCATTGGAGAGTGCAGACAGCTTGGGTTCTGAAGGGCTTCTGGGCCTCTGTTCCTGGCCTGTACCAGGATCCCGAGGGCTGAGCAGCTGTCGGATCGGCAACTCAGGGCGGAGGGAGAAGCGGGACTCTGCACTCCGGTCCTGACTGGTGTTACCAGCGTGCTCCTGTTGCACAGAGTGGGGTTCTGTGCTATGCCGCAAGGTGCCAACACGGGAGGCACTAGGTTGGGAGGCTCCTGGCTTGGAGGCACGGCGTATGGCCTGCCGTGCCAACTCAGCTTCCTCCAACTTGCGCAGAAGGCAGGTCCAGTTGATGTCTGAGGACAGACGGATGTGGGTGCCCTTCACCTTCTTGAAACCCAAAAAGATGTCCATGAGAAGCTCAGTGATAGGAAAGGAGACGAAGCCAAGCTGCTTATTGAGGCTCTCCTCAAACTTGTACTTGCAGATAAGCAAGGAGACTGCCTGCTCAATCAAAAAGTTAGTGAGTTCCTCAAACCAGGGGTTAGAGATGTAGGACAAGCTAGACACAGACGAGATGGACGGCAGAGGCTTCTTCCTCGGCAACTTGGTGCTGGGGCTCTGTGCAACAGGCGAGGAGGAAAAAGGAGACATTTAGCTCTTGTTGCTGCCATCCCTCCTGCTGCCCTGTGAAAGCACAGTTATACCCTCCTTGGCAGCTATACCAATCCTCTCCATTACAGACAAGGAAGCCACACACATCACATAGATCCGTCACACCTGCTCTGCCACAACATTCATTCCACATGCCTCACCTGTCAGGTCTAGAGCACCTCCCAGCCTGGTCAGCCTGTACTCCTGCAAGCTTGTGTGCAGAAGGAATTACATCTGAGCCCTGATGTCCAGGACCTCCAAGGGTCAGGCCACCTATGTCTTCATACACATTTCCTGACCAATGTCCCCTTTACTAAGCAGAAAAACTAGAGAGTCATAGGTGGACTAGGGTAGCTTGACCTAGCTTGACCCTAACATACAGAGCGGTGCTCTTGGCAAAGGTTCCTGTCCATAAAAGATATGTGGGAGAGCCTCAGGTTCACAAAGCCAGGAGGTGGTGGCATACCTTTAATCACAGCACTTGATAGGCAGAGGCAGGAGATCTCTGAGTTCATAGGCCAGTCTGGTCTACAGAGCAAGCTTCAGCACAGCCAGTGCTACACAGAGAAACCCTGTTTTGGATAGTTCAAACAATAATTTTTAAAAATACCCAAGTTGCAGGCATGGTGATACATGCTTGTAATCCCAGCATTTGGGAAGTAAAGGCAAGAATATCATGAATTTGAGAGATTATCCTGAACTACATGATACCCTGTCTCAGAAAAAAAAAATCGAAGGGTAAAAATAGCCTTTATTAATCTTTGACAGTGTAGACTAGGTTTCTTGATCAACAGCAGCTTGTATATCTACCCCAGGATATTTCTGCAATGCAGGGCAGGAGGTCTTGTCCTCGGGCATCAACCAGTGACAGTGGCTACTAGATGTGGTGGGAAAAGGAGCCCTTTTCCTGCAAATGTCCCTCTAAGACCTCCAGTCCTACTCTTGCGGCCACCTCTGGACACGGTGTAGGAGAGGAAGGGGAGAAGTTTTTTCCCAAAGAAAGGGAGAACATAGGAAAAGGGAGATGGGAGGGAAGAGGGCTGCGAGAGTCAAGATGACGCTGGATAGGGCCCCTGAGATGGCCCTTGCAGGAGGCCACCTCCACTCTGACACCAGGGGCAGGGAGGGTGAGGTGCAAGCCATGTTGAGGCGGAGATATATGATTGGATCTTGGGGCCAAAGTCGATTTCTGTAATTTAGGATCAGAGTCAGGGGACTCCTGCATGGAATGGAATGAGGGGCTAGGGACATTAGACACTTGTGCAGGTGTCACCTTGAGCCTGAATCTGGTAGCCATCTGGGCATTAGACGTGGAGGGGGAGTCCTGTCTGCCCTTGCTTTTCCTGCGTGATGTCTTAGGGCTGGAGGCTGTGGTGGGAGAATCACAAGGCTCCTCCCCATCCCTGCTGGTAGGTATGGATGCCTTCTGCTGCAGAAGATCAGAGTCCCCAGGTATCATTGGGGTGGGCTCTGAGGCAACAGGGAAGAGGGGAAAGCCATCATGGCGGCAGGCATGGCTGAGCTTATCTACAGCCTGGCTGACTACACGTTGCAGGGCAGGAAAGAGATGATGCTCAGCCAGGAAGTCCAGGGTACGATGGGGCTCCCTGAGTGAACAATACGCAGGCAGGTTGAATGATGCTGGCTGGTTCAGCAGTGACTTTATCTCCTTGTTCAATTCTTCCTTGAGAAAAATCATCTCCTGTTCTCCAAGTCCCAACTCTGATGTTTCAGGGGTGGCTGAGCTGGAGCCCCAAAGCCCAGAGAACCAAGACAGGGGCTGCTCCCGGGTCCACTGACTGCTGGTCTGGCTGCCCAGTGAATCCCACAGTAGAGAATCCCTCTGGGAGCAGGATTGATTCAGGCCTTTCTGCAAAGAGAGAGGAAGGCTGAGGTGTCCAGCCAGGTCTAACCCTAGCCCTAAACTCAGGCCCACCCTAGGCTAGCCTTAACCATGGCAACAGGTCTCACCCCTTTGTTCTCCAGTCGCAGTAGCCTCTTGAGGTTTTTCTCAAGCAGGAGTTTGTCCCTCATAGGTGGCAGTGAGCCTATGCCTCGGCCACCAGGGCCACTGTCGTGGCTGTGGGAGCCCAGCAAGCCAGCTGTGACACTGCTGTGGGAGTCAGACATGGAGCTGGAGCAAGATGGGTAATTGTTTGGGTGCCCAGCACACAGCGTAGGCCGAGCACGGTGCCGATGCACAGTGTTGATGCTGGGCCTGGCTCGAGTCTGCTGCCTACCACTTGGCACCTCCAGTGGGTCTTGTACATCCACCAGTGGCACTCCAGCCTCTGTCTTTGTGGCAGCCAAATGCTCTGTTGCCTTCTCCACTACTGTCTGCAAGCTGTCCAGCACCTGACCCTCTGTCAGGAAATCCAGGAAGCTGCCAAATGCCTGAGGGCGCCTAGGGTTTTGCTGCTGGCCCTGGTGCTCTGAGTATCGGTTCATTGATGGTAGGTGTGGCACATGTCCAGACTTGCGGGTTGGTCCCCTTTCTGGCAACAGGTGCTTCTTGGGCAGCTGCATCTGAATAGACAGGCTTGTCATAGCAGGCAGGATGCTCTGCAAGGGGTGGGGGGCTAGCTCTGGAGTCCCCCTAGGATGCTATTGGGGGCTGGATGAGATTGAGCAATGGGAAACTTTTTCCTTTAGTTTGTTGGTGCTGGGGGTTGAACCCAGGGTCTTGAACATGCTCTACAAAAATTCAACCACTGACCTGCATTTAAATTTTGTTAACATTTAATTGAGGGTATGTGTGTCCGTGTGTGGGTATATGTGTGCCTCAGTGTATATGTGGAGGTCAAAGGACAACTGGTTGTAACTGGTTTCTCTCGTATTTATGTGGATCTTGAGGATGGAACTCAGGCCAAGTGCCTTCGCTCACTGAGCCACCTTACCAGCTCTGAATTACATTAAAAGTCAGGTCTGAGCCCCAGCTCTGCTACCTTCAGGCTGGGTGACAGTGATCAGAGCAGCCCTTTTTCAGGATTTCTCTGCAAAATAGGGGTCTACTAAGGTTGACCTGAAGGTCCCCAATGCCTATATTTCATATATGCTAGGGCTATCTGGGAGCCTGAAAATGGAAATCTGTGTTCATGGCATGAAAGGGCAATTGTGAGAACCTTCTTCCCTCCCCGCCTCTTCCTGTCTCTAGCACAAGTCTGCACTGCGTTCTCTGCCATGCTACCTTGAGGACTTGAGCCTGCTTCTCTACCTTGAGTCCCCAAGCTGACTCTATGCTCCTTCTCAGGGCTCCTAGCCAACCCAAGTACTACCTGGAGCCCAAGGACAGTGCGGTGTGAAAGAATGATCAGGGCTCAGCAAGCAGGCTTAAGGGAAGTCAAAGCTACAATAACAGTGTCACCAAGTAACACCAAGATCGATTGGAAATGAGAAAGTAGTGGAAAGTGTCCCAGCCACTAATGTCAGGTCAGCTGGACATACTTACCCGAGCTATGTAGGCGTTGTGACCACCTTCATCGTCAGCCAGATATCCTGAGTGGTGGTGGTGGTGGTGGTGGTGGTGGTGGTGGTGGTGGTACCTTGCCATAATATGGGTAATTAAATTTCTTTTTGCTTCCTTTCTCAGCACAGATGCAGACTCCTCTGAATAGGGCGGGAAAGGGAAGAAAAGGTATATCCAGGCCTCCATGGGTCCCTCACTCCTGTACCTTTTGTCCTTCAGACACCCCATCCTTCCCCTGCTGGGATCTGCCAAGCATCTGTGACAGTCCCAAGTGTTGCTTTCTGTCTGCAATTGTTTGGGACGGGGTTGGGGGTGTCCAAACTTCCTTCTTACAGACCAGAGGCGCCCTGGAGCCCCAACCTGCTCACCAGTCTCCTCTGTGCTTCTCGGGATTCGCTGGGTTAGCACCCTTTTAAGGACTACCGCACAGTGCCCTGGAATCCCACCCCCCCGCAGCATCCCAGGGTGCTCATTTACATACTTCATTCTGATTGGTCAGAATCTAGCCTCTCGTTCATTATCTTCCCACAATGGTTGGGGGTGGGGCCCACGTTGGCTCCTCCCCAACCTGGCTGGATTTTTCTGTCAAGCCAGCTAAACAGTGCTTGGGAGGATTTTAAAGGTCTGATTTACTCTGCCAAGAGGTCTGAATCTGGGCTGAATCCCACTGAATCACGCTGAATCCTCAGCGTGAAAGCTACAGCTTCCACTTACGACACAAACACCTTCCTCAGCTCATCCCTGGTCACTGCACAGATTTGGACCTCCGACTCTGCTGGTTTCCTTCCAGGGCTTCTTTCTCTCATCCAGTGTAGACTAACCAGCATCTTCCTTCTCAAGACTTTCTTTTTGGAAGCAGTGAAGAGTCCTGGTTTTCCACACAGACCTAGCTTCAGTTACTGTCCTTGTTTTTGTTTGGTTTTGTTTTTGCTGATATGATTCAGCCCCTCAATACCGGCTCGTCTGTAAACTGAGCTGAGCAGCCTTCCACAAGTGAGTATATATGTTTTTCAAGACAGGGTTTCTCTGTGTAGCCCTGGCTGTCCTAGAACTCGCTCTGTAGACCAGGCTGGCCTTGAACTCAGAGATCTGCCTGCCTTTACCTCCTGAGCACCAGGATTAAAGGTGTTCGGCACCACCACCCAGCTACATAAAATATTCTTTCACTACACATTGCACCTTATGGAAACTCCATATAAACTCACCTGTACCTTTTTCTTTCCCCCTTCATCCTAGAAGCTCCTCATTCCCAACAGATTTATGACTAGCCTGTCCTCCACTGTCACGCTGTTTCTTTCTTGTCTAACAGCAGGCACTTATTTAGGGCAAGAATCAAAGCCCACCCTAATCTCTAATGACTCTGTTTCTGATACAATAAGTGCTTAGTAGTTTCCTCTTCTCCATCTGTGGTTTCAGCGCCCAGGACCTCAAGGTCTCTGATATTTCCAAGAGCTGCCTCCTAGAGAGGCACGGTGGCTGGATGACGCCTGATGGTTCAACAGTCACTATGACTGGACACAGCAGTGTTTACACCAGGAACTTGGCTGAAGGATTCTCTGAGGCCTCCAACCCTTACAAAGCATCATCAGGTACTGTTAATGATTAAACTGTACCCTTTCCCCTCTGCCTGTGATCCAGAGGGTCAGGCAGGATGGAACCAGAACAAGGCTCCAACCAGTAGAGAAGTTCTGCTTCCACTTCTCTGGTGAATCTCTCCGTGCCTTGGCTGTGAAACAGAAACAAAATTACCAGTATCACAGGCTTGACCCCAAGTAACACAGGTTCTACAAGAGAAACCTAGACAGGCTGCCAGAGTGCTTGCCTAACATGCATGAAGTCTTGTGTTCAATTCCTTGCACCACTCAAACCAGGCATGGTGGCACATACCAGTAAGTAATGCCAACACTGAAGAGTTGGGTGCGAAAGGGTCAGAAGTTGCCTGAATGAATAGTGAGTCAGCCTGGGTGGGATACATAAGGCTTTCAAAACAGTATCAAGACAGCCACATTACCAAGCAAACACTGTCTGTCACCATGGTGATTATTGGTAAGTCGTGGGTAAGAAAACTTTACTGGGTAAAGAGCAAAAGTGAGATGATGGAGGTATAAGTTGCCTGAAGCTCAGGGTGAAAATGGACCAACGCTCTCTCCAGCGTAGCCACAGGTTTGCCAGCGTAGTCACAGGTTTGCACGATTGTTTTCTTATGTAGAGCTTTTACGGCCAGGCAGTAGTGGTACACGCCCAGGCAAAGGCAGATGGAAGGACAGCCTGGAATACAGAGTGAGTTCCAGGCCATCCAGCGCCACACAGAGAAACCCTGTCTCGGGAAGAAAAAAAATCAATTAGAACTTGTAGTAAGAAAAAGCCTCCCCTTAGAAACATTGAGGAACAAACTATTTGAAACAAATGCAAAACACCTAATAAGGGCTCATAGGCACTGCATAAAAACAAAGAAAAGCAGCATTGCAAGAATGAAATAACCTGGCCTTATCCCTAAGTGATAGAGAAGAATAGGGGGGGTGTTTCTTTTCATAGAAGAAGGACAGTACTGCCCAGAAACTTAGCAATGGTAAACACTGGGAAGAGTAAGGGTAATTTTTCTTGAGTATTTCTCTTGGTTTTCTTTCTTTCTTTCTTCTTCTTTTTTTTTTCTTTTTCTTTTTCTTTCTTTCTTTTTTTTTTTTTTTTTTTTTTTTTTTTTTAGAGTTAGAGATAGCTCATTAGTAAAGAGAGCTTACTGCTCTTTAAAAGGACTGGAGTTCGGGTCCCATCATGTGTTCACAGGGTGGATCACAACCATCCGTTAACTACAGTTCCAGAGGATCTTATGCCCTTGTACGGCCTCAGCAGAGGAGTGGGGGAGGGGGAGAGAGGAGAGGGAAAGAAGAGAAAGAGACGCAAAAATAAAAATAAAAATTTGCATTGAGTTGATTCGGGCGTTTACAGGACGCACCGAGACCTCTCTAGGTGGCAAAAACAATAGCGGCGTGCAGTCGCTTTAAGGGCTTTAAGGCGTGAGCGTCGGGGTGGGGCCTCGGCAGCGTTCAAAGGCGGGGTCTTTTCCTCTGGTCTCCAGCCAGCGTTTGTTTGGCAGCCATGGCTTGGCCCCGTGTGCGGCTGGTTGTCACCGCTGATGACTTTGGTTACTGCCCGCGGCGCGATAAGGGCATCGTGGAGGCCTTCCTGGCAGGCACTGTGACCAGCGTGTCACTGCTGGTGAACGGCACAGCGGCAGAGAGCGCGGCCGAGCTGGCCCGCAGGTGAGGTCGGCCCCTGGCAGGACCGGGCGGGTTTAAGGGGCTGCCCGCTCGATAGCAGCCAGTGTATCTCTCATGCTCCTCCCGCAGGCACAGCATTCCCACGGGCCTTCACGCCAACTTGACTGAGGGCCGTCCTGTGGGTCCGGCTCGCCACCACGCCTCGTCGCTCCTCAGCCCGGAAGGCTTCTTTCTCGGGAAGATGGGATTTCGGGAGGCTTTAACGGCTGGAGATGTTGCTTTGCCCCAGGTGCGTAGGCGTGGCTGCAGAAGGATACTCACTTAGATCCTCAAAGTACAGCCCAGAGAGTATCAATGGAGCAAACGCGGGCGCTGGATAGGTTCACACGCTGGAACTATTACACAGTGGCAGAAGATGGAGCTCATCGTTTTGTGACTGCTTCCAGAAGCTCAAGTTCTCTGTGTCCCTCCAGGTGCGGGAGGAACTAGAAGCTCAACTCAGCCGCTTCCGGGAGTTGTTGGGCAGGTCCCCCACGCACGTGGACGGGCACCAGCACGTGCACGTGCTCCCAGGTACGCGGATTGAAGAGCCCAGGTTGGGGGGAGGCTTCTTTCCAGGGTTGGTGGGAGGTCGATGCTGAGCCCACCCTTTCAAGCAGGCGTGTGTCAGGTGTTCGCAGAAGCTCTGCAGTCGTTCCGGGTGCGCTTCACACGGCTACCAGTGGAACGCGGCGTGGGCAGCTGCGCGTGGCTGGAAGCGCCAGCGCGTGCCTTCGCCTGTACGGTGGAGCTGGACGCCCGGGCCGCCATGGGCCCCTTCTCCCGCCACGGCCTGCGGTGAGCACCGCCCTCCCTTACCCGATCCAACCCTGCTGAGTTCCCGATTATCCCAGTGAGTTCATTTGGCCAGATGTGACCTTTTTTTCAAACAAAAGAAGTTAGGAATTGACCTGCTGTCCTGCTGATTGACCCTCTGCCTCGCCCTACTGGCCCTTAGGCAACACCTCTAATATCCTGGCACTCACAGGTGGACCGATGCCTTTGTGGGCCTGAGCACTTGTGGTCGACATATGTCTGTTCACCGAGTCTTGGCATCACTGGCGCGGGCCCTGGAAGATATACCTGCTGACCGCGCCCTGACTGCTGAACTGATGGCACATCCAGGATACCCCAGTGTGCCTCCAGACGGGGGCTGCGGTGAGGGTCCTGATGCTTTCTCTTGTTCTTGGGAGCGGCTGCATGAGCTGCACGTCCTCACGGCACCCACGCTGCGGGCTCGGCTGGCCCAGAATGGTGTGCAGCTCTGTGCCATAGATGACCTGGATTCTAAAAGGCCTGGGGAAGGGGTCCCCTGTGAGGCAACTCTGGAGCCCTTCCTGGAGCCTTCCCCACCCTGACACCAAAGGCCAGCTACAGACTGCCTCTCTTGTAGAGGAAGGCCAGAGCTAAAGCTCTGGTTCAGCCTGGAACCAGGCCTTGGAGCAGGGGCCTGGCTTTCCAGGGTGACAAGTCACTAACCCTGTCCCCAGGTCCTCACAGGACCTCGAGGCTGACAGACGGGGAGTCTGTGAAGTCTGATTTAAGGCCTGCTGAGCATTTGGTGCCAATTTATGTTACAATTACAACCACTTGTTTAGTGGAGCAGTGGAGAGAGGTTGGTGTGTTAATAAAATGTCTTTCAGATTTGTATTGTTTATAAAGTGTCCAGGCATCCTTCGAAGAAATAAGTGGGGCACAGAGAACTCCTTTGAGGCTCAGACCAAGTTGTGCAAAAATATCTTCACTTTCTAATTTTGCTCCTGCTTACATGATTTTTCTTTTTCTTTTTTTTTTTAAAAAGGATGTACCAGTGTAATCTTTCGTTTTAACTTATTTTTACTTTATTTGCATTGGTGTTTTGTCTGCATGTACATCTGTGCGTCAGATCTTGGAGTTACAGGCAGTTGTGAGCTGCCATGTGGGTGCTGAGAACTGAACCCAAGTCCTCTGGAATAGGAGCCAGTGCTCTTAACCACTGAACCATCTATCTAGCCCCCATGCTTACACGTTTTAAATCCTTTGGTTAAAAAAATGTGTGCACTTGTGTTGGGCAGTGGTATCTGCATTTCGTTTTTTAAATGAGGGTCTTGACACGTTGCTCAGGCTGGCCTTTGACCCTAGGGCTCAAGAGATCCTCCTCTGTCAGTGGCTGGGACCTAAAGCAGGTGCCGCTGTGCCCAGCAACACTTACACTTCTCTCTTTTAAAGTGGAGGGAAACAAAGATCCTCATTAGAATCCATGATTTTGACTTTAAAAGATTATCTGAGGGCAGCATGTTGGCGCAGTGCATAACAGCTCTCATGTTTATTCCTCAGGTCTGGTGGAAAGAAAAGTTCTCCCTCAGCTAGCCACACACCCACACACATACTATATTCTACAGTGTGTGTAGGTTTCAGTCATCTAAATTGGGGGGGGACTATATTCTATAGTATGTGTAGTTTCAGTCATCTAAATTGGGGGGGGGGAAACGGGGAGGGGAAACTTATATGTAAGCTGCTTCAGAAAACAGATTGAAAGAGGCTCTGCAAGCTTGTAGGTATGTTTACATTTTTCTGGGGAAGGTAGTCTTCTACAGAAATGAGAAGCTGAGATTCTAGCTACATCTAATACATATGGATGTTCTGATGGCAGGGAGTAGCTGGGAAAGTGGTGGAACATAACCTTACACTACTTTGGAAGATGGAAATGCAGTTGGAATAGCACATGATCCTTTTTTTGGTTCTGGGTATTGAGCCTATAGTTGCACACATTCATGGTAGGCAAAACAACTAGACTGTCTTGAGATTATATTGCCAAGGATGACATTGAACTGATATTCCTGCTTCCACTCCCCAATACTGGGATTACAACTGCATCATCACTCCCAGTTTACATAGTTTTTAGGATTAAGCTCTAGAGTTTCAAGCATGCTGTGTAAGCTTTCCATCAATTTAATGGGGGTTGGCAGAGCAGGGATTTGAACTTAGCTGACATGGCCTGCATCCATTCTGGAACTGGGGGTTGGGGAAGCAAGCTTTCGACTGCCTGTTAAGACCTTGTGACTTTCTGAGGGTTCTGCTCCTCCTCTCTTGACTGGCTTCAGTCTATTTTAACCTTTCTGGACCTTGACTTGGGCAGGCTGGACCTTGACTTGGGCAGGTCCAACATGTCTGACCCAGAATATTAAGTTTGATCCCCATGCTGTGTACCATTCACCTCACCTTAATTCCTGTGGTGTGGGCACATACTCTTGTTGGCTGCTGGTGAAGGCCTAGTACAGGGATAGCTCCTAGGAGTGTGCTGCTACAATGGAGTGCTCAGGAAAAGGCTCTGCTGTGCTCTGGTGCACCACCCAGCCTACAAATGGCAAAGCACACTGGAGGGGGGGGGGGGTGTTCTCTAGAGGCAGCTTCCTTCAGTAGACCTTGAGCAGGGCCCTGGTAAGTGGTCTATACTGTCTGCTTTCCAGAGTCATCCAGGAAATGCAGTTTACTAGGCATGGCCTGGATTGGGCACCATGTTGCATTGTGTCAGTCCTTCTCAGCTTTGCTGTCTGGGGATAGTGCTGTTTGCAGGGCAGAAAAAATCAAATTGACTTCTCCTTAGACTAGACTGCAAAGGTGTGTGGGGGACACATCTCTTAGGACTAGAGGAAGTGAAATGCCAAACAAAAGCTGAATGGCTTACCCGCTGCATATGGAGCAATAAAGGAACTATGGGTCTCAGCTACAGGACTGGAAGTTTTAACAGTCTGGAGGAAGTGGGCATGGAACTTATGAAAAAAATACTTAGTAGAAGGAAACCAAGGTTGAGAGGGATAGTGGCTAAGAGGACTGAGTTCAAAGCCTGCAATGCTCCAGGAATGTCTGGAAGCCAAAGTAAAACGATACTCCAGGCAGTATTCCCATTAAACCTGCAGTGAGTTTCCAGATATGACTATGATTCAAGGATACATAGTCTTCAGTCTGCACTTTCCCAGTATTTACTGCCCTATTTACTTGTACCCGGCAAGGCAGACCCACTTGGATGCCTTTTAAAGGCTAGTAAGTGGAGAAGAGATCAGAGGCCTAGACACTACTCCCTCTAGACCCCCAGCAATGTCCATCCCCAAAAGAAGAAACCCATACACCCAAACTAGTGTCTGAGAACATTTTTATTAAGGACAGAATGGGGGTCACAGCATTTTAGAAAGCCTATTCTCTGCCATCATGGAAAGAGCAGGACAAGACCTGGGCACTTCAAGGAACCAGGGGGATATGAATTCCTGAGCCAACTTGTGTGTCAGGGGTGGGTGGGTGTCTGGCTGCTCCACAAATCTCCCCTTCTCCAGAGGAGCCAGCTCTTCAGTTTGGAACAGCCAGGGCTACCTGCCAGCTTGCTCACAGCCTGCTCCAGGGAAGGGCTGGAAAGAGCAAGGCATGCAAGCCCAGAGGGACACCACTGACTCCAAGCCAGGCCTCTGCTTCCAGGGCAGGCCATGGTTGTCAATACTGGGGCTGAAAGTCCCTGAGAGGGGCTGCCGGCATGAGAGTACCCTCCCATAGTGAGCAGAGAGCAGTGAGGGATAACAGGCAGGTAGAGCTAAGCAGTGAGACAGTTGGACTATCTCTAGATTCAGAAAAGCAACAAGAACAAGAGGTGGTTTGTTTGGACAATTTCTGACAGAATTTGGCATTTTATTACAAATCTGAATGTGAATGAAATAAAATCCATTGTCACTTTTCTGCCAATGAAGAGACAGACATAGACACACAGGCCCAGTGTTCTGGCCATCCTGGGCACATATGAAGTCTCCAGAAACCTGCCCCATGCATACCTAGAACTAAAGCATAGTTCATTTATGCACCACAGGAGCCAAACACTTGGAAAACTAAATAGTGTTACACTGCCTGAGAGGACTTGTCTCAATTCGTTATAAGCAAAACCCAGAGCTGTTTTCCAAGTCTGTGAACCCTAGGTAGCCCTGAAGTTAAGAACTAAGGTTAAAGCAGGAAGCAAGATTTCTTGAGGCAATCTTCTGCACAGGATTTAGACCCCCTATGAGCAGAGTTGGTGAACGTAGGCTGTCAGACCAACAGCTTCCTCGGGGTGTCACTACTGCTTCAAGGACAGCTCCACTTGCCTTGAAAAGACATTAACATTCAAATCTTGACAAAGTTCATTTGATAAATTCTAAGGTCAAATTTTATTTCTACCAAAAAAAAAAAAAAAAAAAAAAAAAAGGCAATGAAAACAATATAAAACACATTAAAAGGATATTACTGAGTGAGCTTCAAGTGGAGCTTGACTCTGGGAGGCTGAGTCCAGAGGGAGGGAAGGCCATCCTGTTCCTGGGCTGCACCAGCAGCTGCTCTGAGGAAGGGGCAGCTGGTTACAAAGCAGAAGCCACCAATGCCGATGCCACAAAAGGTAAACCATGCGGAGGGAGACAATGGTGGCCTGCTGTGCTGAGGAGTGGGGGGCTCCTTGGCACACCTCAGCAGAGATCAGTGGTGGAGAAGCTTGAGCTTTCAAAAGAATATTCTGGCTTTTGCTTTGCCTGTGATAACCAGCAGGTCGTCCAGCACAGCGGCAGGGAGAACTGCGGACTGAAGAGATTCAGCACACAAGTGCACGGCGTTCTGTACTGGCAGACCCTCCCTCTAAGGCCACCACAAATCTGGTATTGCAGGGTTCTCTACAAAGTCCTGACACAGCCTGACCACGGGTACAGAGCTTGGGATCTGCCCGTTAAGACTGTTACTGTAGAATCACTTTGCTAAGATTTTATGTAAAAGCAGCTACCCTTTGCACAGACATTCTTTTTTTGGGGGGTAGGGTATTGGTATTGTTTTATAATTTGTTAAAAGGACACTAATAAGGTGGCATGAGGGGGACTTGAGCTATCATCCACAGGCAGTGTGGCACAGGAGAAGAGCTGCTAGCGCTGCAGCTTCTGTGGGAAGTGAAGGACAGAGGGCAAAGGACAGGGAACCACAACTTTTTTTAAGCCTTCTGGGCTAACTGTAACTCTGGGAGAATCTGGGCAAGAGAAGAAATGCCATTCTTTTGGAGTAGACTAAAGCAGTGATTTTTAAAACAAAGCAAGCAGAACTAGAACATGTGAATTTTTTAATCCTTCTTTACAGGTTACCTAGACCACTTTTGATTAAGAAAACTGTAGAAAGTTAGTAACTGCCACAAGCGGACACCAGGTGGTGGCACGTGTCAATTTTCCACAGAGTCCTGCTTTGAGGGGTATCTGGATACACTGCTCGGGGGCTCTGCTCAAACTTGCTGGAATCACTCATGGCAGATTTTAGTCCACAGGTCGTTTTTCCCCATATTTCTTTGTAAACTCTTCAGCATTCTTACAGAATTTTTTACGGTCCTTAGAGTATTCTTCAGCTAGGTCAGCTCGGAGTGGGTGCTCAGGCTGGGGGTCATTCACCAGTGCTATGAGGGACTGGATTACTGCCAAAAGAAGGAGAAGGCACTGGGGTTAATTAAAACAGACTCAGAAATAGCAAACCTCAGGAGAGAAACTGTAGCCTCTGCACAGACTCAAACACTGAGTCAGAGAATGACTTCAATCAGGTTCCTGGCCTTGCTAAGTGTTGGGGTATAGCCCAGTGCCACTCTGTCTGGTGTTCTGGAATCAAGTTTTATGAATGCAAGGCTGGCTCTGT